CCTGTCACACATACTGACGCCTGTCTGACAGGTAGTCAGAAATCCAGGAGACAGTGGAGGAGCTGACACCATCCTGAGCAGATCCTCACTCATCAGAAAGGGCTGGATTGTGTTAAAGGCACTGGAGAATTCGAAAAACAATATCCTCACAGAGCCTTAACACTATCAGGTGTGAGGAGCTGCTGCAGAAGATAAACGACAGCATCATCCACACTAATATGGGACTAATAGGCAAACTGTAGAGGACCCAGGGACGGTGCCACCAGGGGTCTGAGCTGAGCCAGAACAAGTCTCTTAAACTCTTTCATGACCTGAAATGTCAAAGCAACTTGTCTGAAGTCATTGAGTCCAGATGGAATGGGCTTCTTTGGCACCGGCACAATGCAGGAGGTCTTCCAAAGCACCAGGATCCTTTCAAGCTTCAGTGTGAAGAGAAAGTGCAGGATCTCAGTGAGCTGTGCTGCACATGTCCTCAGCACACGAGGGGTGACCTGGTTCGGTCCAGGAAACTTGTTTTAGTGAACTTTCACCAGCTGCCTTCTCACCTGGACAGGAGACAAAGACACTGGGTTGGGTTCGTCCGTGGGGGTGTAGGAGGTGATGGGCTGATAAACGAGTGGTCTGTGGTGAGGTGTGCATTGGGAGTCTGGGAGGTGTAGAGACGGTGGAGCCAGGGGATGAAAAATGATTAAAATGCAGATTGAATAGATTGAGCGATTGTCCTGCTGCTTAGTTTTTCTGTTGAAACCTGTGATGGTCTTCATCCCCTTCCACATGTCTCTGGTGTTGTCCCGTACACTTCTTTGACAAGCTTTGACGAGCTGGTATGTGGCCATACCATCTTGTCAAAGTCTGATTCCAGGTCTGGTCAGTACTTGGATGGAGACACTGGGAAAATCAGGAGCCACAGGAGGCGCCAGTTGCAAAAAATGTTGTTGTGTCCTTAGGCAAGCCACTTCACCCACATTGCTGAGTATGAAAGTGTGTGTGCGTGAGGTTGGACGGGCCAATTGGCAGCCAAGCTTCCGTCAGTCTGCCCCAGGGCAGCTGTGGCTACAATAGTAGTTTACCACCAATGGGTCTGGAGTGAATGAAGAATGCTCTGAAAAGTGTCTTTGTGACATGTGTCTGTGAAAAGTGACCTATAAATAAAAACTTCCTTACTTCTTGACTCTCCCTGAGTTGGACCTTCAGCTGCCGACGTGCCGTCTTCCCCTCGTCCTTGTCTTCAGAGTTGAAGGCCCACTTCGTCTTACTGAGTAGATCCTTCAGCTGGCTGGTGATCCAGGGTTTGTTGTTGGTGTAACAGCGTCTAGTGTGTTTGGGGATGGCTGTATTTTCACAGAAGGTGATGTAATCAGTTATACAGTCTGTCCTGCTGTTGGTGTTGTCCTCATGGGGTTGGCAGAGCATTTCCCAGACTGTGGTCTCAAAAAAGTCCTGAAGGGCATTTCTTACACCTCTGTTAATCTGACTTCACTTGCTTACAGTCCTAGTGGTGAGCTTCATTGGAATGGTGCTGAAGGCTGTGCGTGACATCACACTCTTTCCACTTCTTTATACATTCTATGTGTTACACCATCTATGACAACTGTGGTGTGTATTTGACCAAATCAACATGTTTCACACAATAACACACGTGTAATGACCTGAAAACAACTCCAGATACTGTGGTGTTCAGAAAAAACTGTCTTCTTGCTGATTCTTTCTGCAGACTCGCATCTCACCCACACTCGCACTCTTCAGAGGTCATTGTGACAGACGTCACAGATCAGTGTAAAAGGGTTGACATGATTTGAATGACTTTCTAAGTCTTGTGGGACTCGTACATGTCCTGAACCACCGCGCATTTGCAGCCAGTGTACACCAGGTCAGAGTGAGATTCACCAGATTTTATGTGTCACAGTGTACAGACCACCAAAGAAATGTAGTATTTTTATCAATGAGTTTTCTGAGTTTTTATCTATTTTACACAATTCTTTTAATATGATTATTATAACCGGTGATTTTAACTTACACATAGATAACCTTTTAGATCCTGTCGCAAATGAATTTTTAAATGTTCTTAATTATATGGATTTTACTCAGCACGTCACACAGCCAACTCACAACAGAGACACACTCTGGATCTGGTCATCACCTATGGCCTGACCACTAGTGTGTCCTCTGTTGTTGACCTGGCTGTGTCTGACCACTACTGTGTGTTTTTTAACATCACTGGTTTTATACAGCGGGAGACCTCTGTGAGAACTGTGAGGAAGCGCTGTCTGACCCCTGAAGTGGCTGCAAATTTTATCAAAGTTTTAATAAAAAATCCCCCAGTGGTTTTACCTGCCTCCTGTGGTTTTTATATTGACAGTTTTAACAACAGACTACAGTCAGCTCTGGATCTGGTTGCTCCACTCAAAACTAAAAACATCAAAACTAAACTAAAACCTCCATGAAGAAATGAAGAGCTGAAAAAAATCCAAGAGAGAGTGAGAGGCAGACGGATGGGAAAAAACAAAACTACAATAAACTATCAATTATTTAGTGATCAACAACGGACTTACAACAACGCAATAAGAAACACAAGAAACCATCACTTTTCTACATTAATAACCAATAACAAAAATAATCCAAAAGTTCTTCTTTTTTCAACCATCGACAACATTTTAAACCCTGATTTTAGCACGTTTTTACTTAACACCCACTGACTCTCTCTGTGAGCAGTTTGCAGTCCACGTCATGGGAAAGATAAACACTATCAGATGTGATATTTTATCTTGTCAAAGCTGTTTTTAGTACATCTGAGTGTTTGTCTGGACCACAGAAAACACTGGACAGTTTTGTCCTGGTTAATGCTGAGATGCTTGACAAAGTTTTCTCCTCAGTGAGGCCCACCACATGTTTTTTAGATTCAATTCCCACCCAATTTTTAAGTCATTTTATGGATCTTTTAGGGATGAGCTTTTAACCATGATGAATTGCTCTCTTCAGACGGGGTCTTTCCCGCTGCCTTCAAAACTGCAGTGGTGAGGCCCCTGCTGAAGAAGAGCAATTTAGATTTTGAATGATTTTAACAACTACCGACCAGTGTCTAACCTACCATTTTTAAGCAAAATCTTACAAAAACTTGTTTTTATTCAACTAAATTATTTTTTAGATGATCATAAAATTTTGGAAAAATTTCAGTCTGGTTTTAGGGTGAACCACAGCACCGAGACCGCCCTTGGCAAAGATTTTAAATGATTTTAGAATAAATTGTGATTCACAAAAGGTAACCGTGTTGGTTCTACTGGATCTGAGCGCTGCCTTTGACACAGTAGACCACACTATTCTTTTAACTCCCTAAAAGACCTCGGCCTCTCCGGTGCTGTTCACAAATGGTTCACATACCTCACAGACAGAACATTTATGGTGAGTGTAGACACATGCTCCTCCAGGGTCCATAAAATCACATGTGGTGTGCCCCAGGGTTCCATTTTAGGCCCTGTGATTTTTAACTTGTACATGCTCCTCTTGGTGGTGTCATCAGTAAACATGGAATCAACTTCCACAGCTCTGCAGATGATCCACAGCTTTACATCTCCATGTCTCCTGATGACACCAGACCAATGGATGCCCTTTTTAACTGCATTCTAGAAATTAAATCCTGGATGGCAGAAAACTTCCTCCAGCTTAACCAGGACAAAACTGAGGTTTTAGTCATTGGTCCTGAGGCCCAGAGAGAAAACACTTTTACCCAAACTACAAGCACAGTCTTTTAACCCATCTCCTCAAGTAAAATACCTGGGAGTCATTTTTGACTCTGAGCTGACTTTTATTCCACACATTAAGAACATCACAAAAATCAGTTTCTATCACATAAAAACATAGCCGCCCCATTCTCTCTCTGGCCAACACAGACGCTGATGCTTTTATCACCAGTCGAATAGACGACTGTAATGCCCTGCTCTCTGGTCTTCCCAAAAAGAGTATTTCAGGTTTACAATTACTACAAAATTCAGCAGCTGCACGTGTCTTGACGAGGACCAGAGGGCGGGACCACATTACACCGGTTTTAAACTCACTGCACTGGCTCCTGTGAGTTTCAGGATCGATTTTAAAGTTCTTTTACTGGTTTTTAAATGTCTTAATGGTCTTGGGCCTTCTTATCTTTCAGAACTGCTTTTACCCTACGAACCCTCACAGACCCTGTGCTCCTCCGGCAGCAGCTCCTGGTCATTACCAAAGTCAGGACACACACTCACGGAGAGGAGGCGTCTTTTCAGCACTACGGCCCTGTCTATGTGGGATTTTTTTTTTATCTGTGTAAAGCACTTTGTGTTACATTTTTGTATGAAAAGTGCTTTATAAATAAAGTTTGATTGATTGATTGATTGAACTGCAGCTCCAGTACCGCCCAAAGGTCCTGTAGTGCATGGAGATAGGGAAAGTGGTCAGACTGCTTCACGTTGACTGAGAGGGGCCTCCACTTCCTCCTCGAGCATGTTGAACCCAAACACTCGGCCTCGTGGAACTCAGCTCAGGTCCAATTTTCAACTCAGACACTTACGCAGAAAAGTTGGGCTTTTGAATTTCCAGAGTTTCCAAAGTCTGTTTGGTGACAAACTGAGAGACTGACTTTATTTTATTTTATTTTACACTGATGGTTTTTCTGCACAAATTAAACACATTTAAGAGAAAATCAACTGTATATTATAATTAATGTTGTACTAAATAAGACCATATCCTGTCACATAAATCTCTGTCACAACAACTACAGGGTTTGGCACAACTTTTTGGCACAATGAATCATCAAAAAGAATCCAGATAAACAGATGTTTGTTATTGTGGTTGTTATCTGTGCATTTCACCGTTGCTCTCACGAACATTCTTGATTGTGGGAAGTCGGATGGTCACGTATCTCTGAGTTTCAGAGATCACATGAACGCAGTGTGAGAGTAAACAAAGGTCTCACCTCCTGTCACTCAGATGCCTTTGTGAAGATTTGAAGATTTGATTTCAGATTAAAGTCAGGCTAAACTGAAAGTATGAGACATAACTGTGGATTCTCAGACGGTAAGAGGCTGTTTTAATCTCATATATTTGTTTCATTACAGTGAAGTCGTCCTGTTGGCGACAGGTGTATTATAAAACAAGTTTGTTTTTAGACTTTTCTCTCTGTGTCTTGATCACTGCTGTGAGCTCTTACGGTGCAAACTGTGTTTTTTATGAATGTTTTTTCACAAGACGTCATTATTAGATCCTTTTTAAAATCCGGTAACACTTTATAATAACTATAAGGAACAAAGCTTAATTAATAATGATTCATGCTTAGTAACTACTTAATTACTACTTGAATTAGCACTTAACTTGTACTTAATTCCCCTGTGCTGTAAATAGTTACTCATAAGTATTTCTTACTTAATTACTCATGAACTAACATTTGTGTTTGCATTTGTAAATGTATATTTAAGTACAAATTTGAGCATTTATTAAAGATTTAGTAAACCATGAGAGAATTATTTACTGTAATGCATTATTGTTCTCTGAATGTGATCCTTAACAAATGCTTAAAGTATAAATTAGTCTTTACTTTAGAACTAAACTCTCAGAAAGATTTTAACTAACAGATAAATCTGCCTGAATGATCATTGCATTGTATTTTAGTAAATTCTTCTCTCATGCTTATTATCATTTAATAAATTACGAAACTATGCACTTAAATATACATTTGTAACATGCGAATGGTTAGTTTGAGTAATTAAGTAAGAAATCATGTGAATTAGTGCAAGTTAAGTGCTAATTCTTTTTAATTATTCATGCTTTATTAAGGCTAAATAAGGTGTAGTTATTATAAGTGTTACCAAAAATCCTTGTGTAAACTACTGGAAATGTGTTATAAAGGTAAAACATTATTATTATATTAATATTACTCTAAGTGTCCAGAATAAAACAGGAAACAGAAGTGTCAGGAAATCCACAGCGTATTTTCTGTTTTGAGTGAGTCATAAAAATCAGACGCTGTGACTTCTGCGTTCTGTAAAATTCTTTCATGCAAAAAACAGAGAGTGTTTTGTTAATTTACAGAGTGTAGACACATCTGTATTTAAAGCTGCAGTGTGTAACTTTCTTGAGGAGGTGCGTCACCTGCATCATTGTGTGTGTGGACTCTTGTGGACACAGCGCTGCTAAAATGTTTTTATTTGAATAGATCTTTTGACTTTTCCTGTTTTAACATTGTTCTTTAATTAAAAACATACCTGTGGTTGTATTTAGCTTCTGTAAATCTCTGTGAAAAGTCCTTTGTCTCGGAGTCTGTCTGTGGGTGTAGTGAGGGAGATTCCTGAGATTGTGCTCACAAAAATTGTTGGGGCAAGTTGGATTTGTTTTCCACACGATTATTCTGTCTGTAATTTCTGAGTATAATTTTGCATTTTTCATTCACTCTGTGGTGGAGAGACTCTGTTGTAGCCACAGCTGCCCTGGGACAGACGGTCTGAAGTGAGACTAACAGTCTGCACCATCACCAAGAGTGAACATTTATTGGAAAAAATTTAAAATAAAAAAGACTAGTCTGTAAATGTTTTCATTTAACCTTTAAATAAAAGATGAAATCTGTCACAAAGGGCTGTAGAAAAGTGAACGGCGTCAAATATTAGACATTGGTGAGTTTCAAAAACAAACCTGGTGTTTGTTCAGACGGAATCTTTATCTGGTCCAAAAAAAAAACCTGCCGCTCAACATCTCGATCAGATGTTTCCATTTTCATGTCCTCACATGTAAATTCACTGTGGTACAAACAAAGAATGTGAACTGCAAGAAACAAAGACAAATGTGTCATTATCAAATGCACCACAAATAGAGAAACGACGCAAAGCACAAAACGATGAAAACCAAGAAAACACAGAAAAATGAAAAACGCTGCATAAAAAGTCGTCGGTGCTCCAGACCTGCAGGGGGCGCTCTCAGTCTAACAGCTCAATGGAGACACACACCAGATGAAGAGAAACAGAAAACAGTCGACTGACGAAAAACTACAGCCACAACTGATGATAGTTACAGTAATGTGGCTTTGATTTGATTCTGTTCATCTACTGTGCTTTAAATAACATAAATATAATAGAATAATAGTATATATTAAAAAAAAAAAACATGAAAAAAACATCTTTTCGAAGTCTTCCGTACCTAAACTCTGTCCTTTTTTCCCTTTGCAGTTGTATCGTCCATTTTGTGGATCTGCTCTTACAACTTTTTCTGCCTTTTGTTTGCGTGTTGAAAAAAATCATAATTTTTTAAAGCTCGTCCAGGAGGAGACGCCTGTCGCTCGTGCGCATGCTGTATTGATCTATAATCTATTTCTTTTATCTCTGTTAACAAACAGGCCGATCGACGCCTCGTGAAGTCTGGGTGTGAAATACAGTAAAATAAACGTCACATGATGTACGGTGTTCTACAGACATATTTATGTTTTTTATAACTCAGTATGAATAGAATCAAATCAAATCCACATTACTGTAACAAACATTGAGCTGTTCCACTGAGAGCGCCCCCTGCAGGTCTGAACACTCTTGATGCAGCGTCTTTTGTTTGTTTGTTTTTTGGTGTTTTCTTGATTTCCATAGTTTTCAGTTTTGCAAAACAAAATTGCAGTTGGAAGTGGAACAAATAAAAGGTTCCTCTTTTATAACAAAAATGAAAAATGAAAATGAATTTAAAAATGAAATTAATGAACATGAATTGACTTAAAATATGACTTATCTATTAATATTTATTGCGTTTTCATATTTTATTGTATTTACTGTGTTTCAATCTGAACATTACAAAACATGAACTTAAATAACTGACGCAACTGACAGAAGTTAAAAGCACAAAGTGTCTCTCTGTGTGATCTCACAGAATAAATCATATTTTTATGCTTCATGTACGTCTGTTGGTGTAAATGTTTTCCAAACAGAAGAGCAGACTAATGAGCAGGTGTTTGTTTAGGTGCAGCATGGCTCAGATGCTCAGGCTGGTTCTTCTCGGGGGGAGCGCTGTGGGGAAGAGTTCCTCAGGGAACACTATTCTGGGCCGGAGAGTCTTTGAGTCCAGACCTTCTCTGAGACCTGTGACCACTCTGGTCAGTGAGCACACTGAGCAGGTCCATGGACTGCAGGTGTCTGTGCTGGACACACCTGGGATCCTGAACCCCAACGCCCGACAGCTCATCCAGCCTGTGTGTGAGGAGCACCTCCGCCGCCCCGGCTCTGTGTTCCTGGTGGTTCTGAAGGTGGGCAGGATCTCCTCAGAGCAGAACCAGGCTCTGCAGAGGACGGTGGAGCTGCTGGGAGCCGAGGGTCTGAGACACAGTCTGCTGCTCTTCACCTACGGAGCAGATTTAGAGGTAAAACTCCTGTTTACTATCCTTTTTTTTTTTTTCTTTCCTCGTGTGAGACAGACGTAAGAGTCACACCAGCTCCAGATGTTTATGCTCTTTCTCTTGTTTTACTGTCAGTGTAGATGTAACACACGACCTGAAACATGCTCCAGACGCTGAGTTTTCAGTCAAAAAGAGACTCTGTGGATTATTTCCTCAGAACTGTGCCTCACCTGCACCTGCTCTCGGCAGAGGACAGAGGTCAGTGTGACAGGTGCAGAGGACAGTGTGGCAGGTGCAGAGGTCAGTGTGACAGGTGCAGAGGACAGTGTGTGACAGGTGCAGAGGGACAGTGTGACAGGTGCAGAGGACAGTGTGACAGGTGCAGAGGTCAGTGTGACAGGTGCAGAGGTCAGTGTGACAGGTGCAGAGGTCAGTGTGACAGGTGCAGGACAGTCGTGCAGGTGCAGAGGACAGGTGGCAGGTGCAGAGGTCAGTGTGGCAGGTGCAGGTGCAGGTGCAGAGGTCAGGTGACAGGTGCAGAGGTCAGTGTGACAGGTGCAGAGGTCAGTGTGACAGGTGCAGTGGCAGGTGCAAGGTCAGCGTGCAGGTGCAGAGGTCAGGTGACAGGTGCAGAGGTCAGCGTGACAGGTGCAGAGGTCAGGTGACAGGTGCAGAGGTCAGGTGCAGGTGCAGGTGCAGAGGTCAGGTGGCAGGTGAGGTCAGGTGCGTGGCAGGTGCAGAGGTCAGTGTGGCAGGTGAGGTCAGGTGTGGCAGGTGCAGTCAGGTCAGCAGGTGTGGCAGGTGCAGAGGTCAGGTGCAGGTCAGCAGGTGGCAGGTGCAGAGGTCAGTGTGCAGAGGTCAGTGTGGCAGGTGCAGAGGTCAGGTGCAGGTGAGGTCAGTGTGGCAGGTGCAGAGGTCAGTGTGGCAGGGAGCGTTGGTTTTAATGACTTTCTAAATGTTGTATAAGGTGGCGTCACCTCTGGTGAGTGCGGCAGGACCGAGCGAGGCTGTGGCAGGTGAGGCCCTTCTCACCTGCACCACTGTTTTAACATGGAGCAGCACTGAGCCGCGCTGTCAATCAAATCTGTTCGGTTTGTTATTATGTTCAGATCTTGATTTAGTGAAATAAAAAGTGAAATAAAAACCTCAGGATCATGTTAAGTATTTTATGAGGAGCCTCACAGCAGCAGGGCCACACTTTTTAAAAACAAACTGAACTGGAGCCAGAGTCCATGGAAACAGAAGTGTGCCCATGCTCACTTCCTGTTTGGAACACAGCAGCTTGAGGTTTACCTTTGTCCATTTTCATACAGTCTGTGGGTCGGGGGGATGGACAACATCCTCTGGGGTCCCTCAGGGCTCAGTGTTCTCTCCTGTTGTCTTCACACAGACTGCAGGAGCGCCACCTGCAGGTCTCTGTCTGTAACTCAAACTCCTAGAACCAATAAACTCTGATGTGACTGACGCCCTGTGGTCACAGCACAGGACTTACTCCATTTGCTTGTGCTTTTTATACATGTTCTGACGGGGCTTATTCTGTTCACTGACCTCTCCTGACCGCTCCTCTATGAGGTCACATGGTTGTCCTGTTCATTTCAGTGGAGAAACAGGGAGAAGTCGCTGCAATAAATAAAATATAAAGTAGGTTTATTTGTGTAAAATGTTCAATATTCATGTGACACGTCACTGATCCATTTCTCTCTGAGGCGTTTTATTTTTACTGTGGACATCTGAAAGATCAGACACAACTGGAATAATTCTGGCAGCTTCTAAATCCAGTTTGAGGAAAAGCACTGACTTGTTTCCTTCTGCTCTTTTAAGGGGACGAGTCTGGAGGACTTCATCTCTGAGGACAATGAGAGTTCTCTGCCCGACATCTTTAACAACATGTTTGGACGGAGACATCATGTGTTTGACAACAAAGCCTGGGGCCCCGAGCAGGTCCAGACTCTCCTGCAGAAGATCCAAACCCTTTCAAACAGGGATGTTTCCTCCAGGTGAGTCTCCAGACTGAGTCCTCAGAGTCTCCTCAGCTGAGTCCTCAGAGGTTCAGGTGAGGCTGGGGTGGGGCAGCCTCTGATTCAAATCCTGAAGGAGACATGTTCAGCTTTAAGCCCAGTTTGCACTGATCCGGGCTCCGCCACCTCAAGGACACAGTTGGTCCACTGCGCAGCCAACGGAGAACTCCACAGGACACAAACTCCCAACATCTGACCAAACCAAAGAGGAAACATGGATTTAAGTGTAGAAATGTTCAACCATTATAAAAGCAAACAGACTTAAACTGTACCAAGTCTGAAGACACAGAGAAGAAGACTTTGTTTTGATTTGAGTGAGTTGTGCTTCCAGGATCGCGGTAAAAGGTGTTTGTCAGTGGAGTTTTTCCTTCACCATGACACACTTCATCTGTTCCTCAGACAGGAGCTCCTGACCAATCAGAGTGCTCCTTTGACACATCCACCGACTTCAGAGACAGAACTCTGTCCTTTAAAGACTCTCTCTCACAGCGCCACCTTCTGTCAGCTTCATGTGGGCGGCAGGTGTTTTTATTTGCACTGAGCTTAGACTCAGTCCAGACTCGATTTAGTTCAAATATCGAACACCTCATGTCCTGTTTTGTGCTTGAAAGACCTTAAACCTTAACCTTAAAGTGTTGCTGTCTGTTGGTGATCAGTGTTTTCTGTTTGTAGGCATCAGGCTTGAGGATGTTGATCTTCACACAGACTTAAGGCTGGTGTTGCTGGGTCTGCCTGGAGCAGGGAAGAGCTCGTCTGGAAACACCATCCTGGGGCAAAACATGTTCAGGGCGAGTTGTGGGTTCAACACCGTGAGCACAGTTTCAGAGTGTAAGACTGTGACGGTGCAGGGGCGGAGGGTCACGGTGGTGGACACTCCAGGCTTCAGCGATGAGGAGAAGAAACCAAAGAAACTGTTCAAAGAGATCATGGAGTCTGTGCTTCGTCTGACCGCTGGACCCCACGCCTTCATCATCGTGGTGCGTCTGGGCCGAGTGAACCTCAGAGACACCAAACTCCTGCAGCTCATGCCCAAACTGTTTGATGAATGTGCCTCAAAGTTCACGATGGTTTTGTTCACTCATGGAGATGACCTCAGAGGAGAGAACGTCCAAGATCTGATCAATAACAATGAAAAAATGAAGACTATGTTAGAAAAGTGTGACCAGCGCTACCACGTCTTCAACAACAAGAGCTTTGACCCTCAGCAGGTCCGACATCTGTTCACCATGATTGACGACATGGTCCAAGCGAGCGGAGAAGACCAATGTAACTCTCAGATCTTCAAACTGACAACAGCTGAAGAAATAGAAAAGTTCTTTCAGGAGCTGTGGAGGAGGTGGGGTGCCCTTTTCTGTTGCATCGCTCAAACAAACGATGGTTCAGATGAAGAACTGCAGCCATTAACCGGAGATTCAGACAAAAACACAGACGTCCAGTAACTCACAGAGTTTATGTTCGTGTAATGCTGCGTCGAGTCAGTGACAGAATTAGAGTCAGTCATGATACTCGTTTGCTTTATATTTTGATTATTTGAATCATCAGGAACAGCTCTGTGTTTTCTGTCAGATGAAGCTTTAGTTCTGTGTAGAAAAATAGTTTCTGAATAAAGTTTAAACATTAAAGTTCAAGAAAAAACTGTAAAATCCTGAATCACTGTAATCACCAAACACTGAAATAAAACAGCCACATCAGTTTGTCTCCAGGTTTTTCTGCTCTGTTCTGTCTGTTGTCTGTCTGTAGTCTGTCTGTATTCTGTCTGTAGTCTGTCTGTATTCTGTCTGTAGTCTGTCTGTAGTCTGGTCTGTCTTCTGTCTGTAGTCTGTCTGTAGTCTGTCTGTATTCTGTCTGTAGTCTGTTGTAGTCTGTCTGTCTGTAGTCTGTCTGTGTCTGTCTGTATCTGTATTCTGTCTGTAGTCTGTCTGTAATTCTGTCTGTCTGTAGTCTGTCTGTAGTCTGTCTGTATTCTGTCTGTAGTCTGTCTGTATGTCTGTCTGTCTTGTCTGTCTGTAGTTTGTCTGTATTCTGTCTCTGTCTGTAGTATTCTGTCTGTATGTCTGTCTGTATTGTCTGTCTGTATGTCTGTCTGTCTGTATTCTGTCTGTCTGTTGTCTCTCTGTATTCTGTCTGTTGTCTGTCTGTAGTTTGTCTGTAGTCTGTCTGTAGTCTGTCTGTATTCTGTCTGTATTCTGTCTGTAGTCTGTCTCTAGTCTGTCTGTAGTCTGTCTGTAGTCTGTCTGTATGTCTGTCTGTAGTCTGTCTGTAGTCTGTCTGTAGTCTGTCTGTCTGTAGTCTGTCTCTAGTCTGTCTGTATGTCTGTTCTGTCTGTGTCTGTCTGTAGTCTGTCTGTAGTCTGTATTTCTGTCTGTCTGTCTCTGTCTGTCTGTAGTCTGTAGTCTGTATGTCTGTCTGTATTCTGTCTGTAGTCTGTCTGTCTTCTTTCTGTTAGTCTGTCTGTAGTCTGTAGTCTGTTTCTGTCTGTGTCTGTCTGTAGTCTGTCTGTAGTCTGTCTGTCTGTATTCTGTCTGTCTTCTGTCTGTATGTCTGTCTGTAGTCTGTCTGTATTCTGTCTGTGTCTGTCTGTAGTCTGTATTCTGTCTGTATTCTGTCTGTAGTCTGTCTGTAGTCTGTATTCTGTCTGTAGTCTGTCTGTATGTCTGCTGTCTGTCTGTCTGTATTCTGTCTGTATTCTGTCTGTAGTCTGTCTGTAGTCTGTCTGTATTCTGTCTGTATTCTGTCTGTAGTCTGTCTGTATTCTGTCTGTAGTCTGTCTGTATTCTGTCTGTATTCTGTCTGTAGTCTGTCTGTAGTCTGTCTATAGTCTGTATTCTGTCTGTATTCTGTCTGTAGTCTGTATTCTGTCTGTAGTCTGTCTGTATTCTGTCTGTAGTCTGTAGTCTGTCTGTAGTCTGTCTGTAGTCTGTATTCTGTCTGTAGTCTGTTTTCTGCCTGTCTGTATTCTGTCTGTATTCTGTCTGTAGTCTGTCTGTATTCCGTCTGTAGTCTGTCTGTAGTCTGTCTGTATTCTGTCTGTTCTGTCTGTATGTCTGGTCTGTAGTCTGTCTGTGTCTGTCTGTAGTCTGTAGTCTGTCTGTAGTCTGTCTGTATTCTGTCTGTAGTCTGTGTGTAGTCTGTCTGTAGTCTGTAGTCTGTTATGCAAAACAACAGGTTTTTCTGCTCTGTTCTGTCTGTATTCTGTCTGTAGTCTGTCTGTCTTCTGTCTGTAGTCTGTCTGTATTCTGTCTGTATTCTGTCTGTAGTCTGTCTGTAGTCTGTCTATAGTCTGTATTCTGTCTGTATTCTGTCTGTAGTCTGTATTCTGTCTGTCTGTATTCTGTCTGTCTGCTGTCTGTCTGTATCTGTCTGTAGTCTGTTGTTCTGTCTGTAGTCTGTCTGTATTCTGTCTGTAGTCTGTTTCTGTCTGTAGTCTGTATTACTGTCTGTATTCTGTCTGTAGTCTGTCTGTCTGTCTGTGTCTGTAGGTCTGTGTCTGTAGTCTGTCTGTATTCTGTCTGTAGTCTGTCTGTCTGTCTGTAGTCTGTCTGTCTGTCTGTATGTCTGTCTGTAGTCTGTCTGTAGTCTGTCTGTAGTCTGTCTGTCTGTCTGTATTCTGTCTGTAGTCTGTGTCTGTAGTCTGTCTGTGTCTGTAGTCTGTGCTCTGTAGGTTTTTCTGTCTGTTCTGTCTGTTCTGTCTGTAGTCTGTCTGTAGTCTGTCTGTGTATTCTGTCTGTAGTCTGTCTGTATTCTGTCTGTGTCTGTAGTCTGTCTGTATTCTGTCTGTTGTTCTGTGTCTGTCTGTAGTCTGTCTAGTCTGTCTGTCTGTCTGTAGTCTGTCTGTAGTCTGTATTCTGTCTGTAGTCTGTCTGTATTCTGTCTGTAGTCCTGTCTGTAGTCTGTAGTCTGTAGTCTGTCTGTGTCTGTATCTGTCTGTAGTCTGTCTGTCTGTAGTCTGTCTGTATGTCTGTCTGTATTCTGTCTGTAGTCTGTATCTGTCTGTCTGTATTCTGTCTGTAGTCTGTCTGTAGTCTGTCTGTAGTCTGTATTCTGTCTGTAGTCTGTCTGTATTCTGTCTGTATTCTGTCTGTAGTCTGTCTGTATTCTGTCTGTTGTCTGTCTGTAGTTTGTCTGTAGTCTGTCTGTATTCTGTCTGTAGTCTGTCTGTTTCTATCTGTCTGTCTGTAGTCTGTCTGTAGTCTGTCTGTAGTTTGTCTGTATTCTGTCTGTCTGTCTGAATCTGCTGTGTCTGTCTGTATCAGTCTGAGTCTGTGTTCAGTCTGAAACTGTCTGTGAAGTCTGAAACTTAGTCTGTCTGTATTCTGTCTGTAGTATGTGTCTAGTCTGTAGTCTGTCTGTAGTCTTGTCTGTATTCTGTCTGTTAGTCTGAAGTCTGGTTCTGAATCTGTCTGAAATCTGTCTGTAGTCTGTTGTATGTCTGTAGAAAAGTCTGTTATGCAAAACAACAGGAAAAACTGGTAAGAAATGTGTTATAAATTAAAATGTTGTAGGTAAAAGAGATGTAGAGCACAGCAGATTTTGTTGGTTTGTGTATGTGTTGCCCTAGCGACAAAAAACTAAAGAAAATTTGGGGATAAGATGACGAAGAAATTATGAAAATTTAGAAGAAAGAAAAGCGACAGAAAAAACATATGAATTGCTGTAAAATCTGGTTAAAAAAAATAATAATAATAATAAGTTAAAAGAAAAATTCGAAAATTGCAACAAAAAAAAATTAAATTAAAAAACGGAATATTTAGAGAAATAAATTTGTTTTTTTTTTTTTTTTAATTAGTTAGTTTTAGAAATTAGAAATTAGTCATAAATTGGGGGAAAATGTTTTATTTCAGTAAAAATTCTGCAATCTGTCTGTAGTTTATAGGCTAAAAAAATAGATTAGATTTTTTATATTTTTTTTTATTGGTAAGAAATTATTTATAAATTGAGGTAAATTTTTGTGCAAATTCTGTAGTCGGTCTGTAATTTATAAGATGAAAAATTATGAAAAAAAAAGTGATAAAATTACAAAAAACAGGAAAAATAGATTTTTTCAGGGGAAAAATTATGAAAATGAAAATGTAAGAAATTATTTACAAATTGGGTAAAAAATGTAAAAATCTGTCGTCTATAGTTCTGCACCGACCTGTATCCATGTGTCAGATGCCCTCCCGTCCTCCTGTACCTGACCAGAGGGACAGGTGAAGGACAGGTGAAGGGCAGGTGAAGGACAGGTGAAGGACAGGTGCAGGTGAAGGACAGGTGAAGGAAGGACAGGTGAAAAGGTGAAGGGCAGGTGAAGGACAGGTGAAGGTGAAGGACAGGTGAAGGAGGCAGGTGAAGGGACAGGTGAAGGCAGGTGAAGGCAGGTGAAGGAAGGTGAACAGGTGACAGTGAAGGCAGGTGAAGGACAGGTGAAGGACAGGTGAAGGACAGGTGAAGGACAGGTGAAGGGCAGGTGAAGGACAGGTGAAGGACAGGTGAAGGGCAGGTGAAGGACAGGTGAAGGACAGGTGAAGGACAGGTGAAGGACAGGTGAAGGGCAGGTGAAGGACAGGTGAAGGACAGGTGAAGGGCAGGTGAAGGACAGGTGAAGGACAGGAGCTCGTCTGTGTTGTTGTGTAACTCAGTTAAAATTTAAACACATGAAAAAAAAAAAGTGGATCTGAAAATAAACGAGGCTCAGACAGAACGGACCCAGAACCGACACATGTGGAGCTAAACATAGACCCGGACTAAGACCTAAAGACCCGGATCACAACCGGACTAAAGACCCGGATCACAACCGGACTAAAGACCAGGACCAAAACAAAGACCCGGACCAGGACCAAAACAAAGACCCGGATCACAACCAGACTAGAGACCCGGACCAGGACAAAGACCCGGCCCAGGACCAAAACAAAGACCCGGGCCAGGACCAAAACAAAGACCCGGATCACAACCAGACTAGAGACCCGGACCAGGACAAAGACCCAGACCAGGACAAAGACCCAGAGCAGGACCAAAACAAAGACCTGGACCAGGACCTAAAACAAAGACCGGACCAGGACCAAAAAAAAGACCCGGATCACAACCAGACTAGAGACCCGGACCAGGACAAAGACCCAGACCAGGACAAAGACCCAGAGCAGGACCAAAACAAAGACCTGGACCAGGACCGTTCTAAAGACCCGGACCAGGACCAAAACAAAGACCCGGACCAGGACCAAAACAAAGACCTGGACCAGGACCAAAACAAAGACCTGGACCAGGACCAAAACAAAGACCTGGACCAGGACCAAAACAAAGACCTGGACCAGGACCAAAACAAAGACCCGGACCAGGACCAAAACAAAGACTCAGATCAGGACCAAAACAAAGACCCGGACCAGGACTGCTATAAAGACCCGGACCAGGACCAAAACAAAGACCCGGACCAGGACAAAGACCCCGAGCAGGACCAAAACAAAGACCCGGACCAGGACCAAAACAAAGACCCGGACCAGGACCAGGACAAAGACCCGGACCAGGACCAAAACAAAGACCCTGATCACAACCGGACTAAAGACCCGGACCAGGACAAAGACCTGGACCAGGACCAAAACAAAGACCCGGACCAGGACCGTTCTAAAGACCCGGACCAGGACCAAACAAAGACCTGGACCAGGACCAAAACAAAGACCAGATCAGGACCAAAACAAAGACCCGGACAAGGACCAAACAA